CAAACAAAAGGGATGTTTACACCGAATGTGAATACCTCCTCAACAAAATCATTGGTGCAAAACGTACCCCCCTATTCCCCGTAATGAACACGCACCAAGAGTCCAGTACAACGGAGGATTGACACCAGCAACTACTCATGGTTCTGCTGATGATCACACCATGATAGTCACATGACTCATGGTTGTGATCCTCTCTTTCCTCAGAAAAAATGGCCCGTTCCTCCCTATGATGACCTGCGCCCCTCCATTCTAACCTGGACTCGCGCATTCTGTGGCTAAGTAAGCCATCAAAAAACTCTCGTCAGACTCCTCACCGCATTCGAAAGCCAGGAGGCCACCTTACCACATAACTTCCCAAAGCATCTTCCTGACCGCAGAACCCACCCCCAGGCTGATACACTCAAGACCTACGCCCATCACACGCAGAAGGGGTGTTTGTCTGGAGTGCAGACTTTCGCCGCAGGGCAGGGTCGCACGCTTCGGCGGGCCCGCAGGCACACATCGATCACACATCTGAAAGAGGTCCCATCTCCCCCAGCTCCCCCCAATATTGAGACCAGACACAGGGCCCCTATGTTTAAGTTCTAACCTATTGCCGCTACTCCTGTGACTGGCAATGGCAACAGAGGTTAGTTGTGATAGCACCATGTAGGTAATTGTAAGGCTATGTTCTACTACCTAATGCAGACAAGAAGACTGCAGACAGGAAGAATGCAGACAAGGCAACACCCAAAGGTTGAAAGGCTGCAATGCCCCTTTACTTGTCTTACAATATTACATGTCTCCCCACTAACCCAAGCGACCCCACAGTGGAGTCAGTGATTGTCACTGTTGTGGTATGTGGCAGGTCGTTGGAAGGAGATAGCAGAGGGTCTGGAGTTTGATGAGGATCTGATTGATGAGATAGACACCAACAACGACATGAATGAGGGCTGTCTGCACCACTGTGTGGAGATCTGGGTCACCAACCTACAGCCATCCTGGGAGAAACTCTCTCATGTACTGAAGGAACTGGGGGAGGAGGAACTGGCCCGTCAGGTCTTGAATAAAGGTATAGTCTACATCATGCCATCATAATTACATATGCGTAAGTTGAAGTCAAATGCCCGCTATCTCGTACTAGCACACACACAGAGTATAAACAAGACAGTTAGTATGCAGGTCATCTAAGCACATTGGCCTTCCACAACTTCTGCATTTTTGTCTCAAATCCCCAAGATTTCCAGGGGTGTGCCACATAACATAGTTACGAGGTGCATAATATAAATATTGTGTTACTTTTCAGGCCAGAATGATGCTGCTAATGATCAGGTGGTTTCATATCAGGATAATACCAGGGATGGTGGTGAGATGGTTCTCAAAGTTCGGCAGCGCCATATCACCAACAAGAAAAGGAATGAAGGATCCGTATGTTTATTTTCCACAGAGTGCGAGCAGTATGAATGTTGCTCTTGCTATGAATACTCGCAGAACGTGATGACGTATTTGGGACAATGTGCCAGACCAGCAGCTCCTTTTCCACAAGATGTAAAAGACCTGGAAAAGAATAATCCTGATAGTGGAATGGTAGAGCCTAGCTCACAGGAGCTGAAAGGAGGTCAGTACATTCGCTAGTCTCTGGGTTTTTCGTGCATTAGCGAAAACCATTTCATCCCAAGTTGATGTCCCAAGGGATATTGACTTTACCAGACACCAACATGCTCAAAAAACCAATTATCAGTTCGCACAATTTTATTCATGAGTATGTGGTGAATGATGTGTAATCATTCATTTTGCACCCTCAGGGACCACACCTGAACTGTGGTCAACTGACAGTGGGGGCGGCAAGGAAATGTTAGCAGGGGAGGGAGGGAGTGATGGAGAAGGGGAAGTGGCAGGTGGTGAGGGCCAAACTGGGGGAATTGTGAATGGACATCAGGAGGGAGGAGTTGGTGGGGGAAGTAAGCAGTTGGCTAGTGTTTTAGATTCCATAAAGAATGTTTTGTTTCCTGGTATAGAGCCGTCTCGGGGCAGTGACAGTAAAGTTGTGACTGGGGTAGAGGAGACAGTGTTCTACACATACGATAGCGAGGCTGGGAGCAGAAAAGGAGAGGTATGAGTGTAACCTCAAGGTCTTCCCTGGTATATGGTTTATATTACGTTGCATGTGCAGGAGAGTGCAGTTAGTACTCATTAATACTCTGCAGTGTTGAATTGCCCTTGCACATCCATACATCTAGGGTTTGAAACAGGCTCTCCCTCTGATTCTATTCCAACCCATCAATACGCGGTGCGCATGCGTATATTAGGTGCGATCAACGCGGTATGCTGGCTCACTTCGACCTGATCCGCCTGCTATGTGTACCTTGGAGGCACAAGAAGCCACCGCGAAGGGCGTGTATCGACTCCTGCATGCTATCTACTACTATAGCTAGCCCATGTTAGACTCTCCGCGAGCTTCTAGCGAGAGACCGCGAGTAAACGCATACTACAAATAGCCCAGCCCATCAATTAGCGGTACTGCGCATGCGCAGTTTGCCGAGGGTTTGCACTTTAGTGCTTTTCATTGCACTCTGTGTTTATCCTTGAATGTGGTGCCACCAGATGATTGTTCAAGTGATGTGCAGTATGACAGATCAACCTTTACTGTTATCGAGGAGAGCCCTATCATTAGTTGCTCTGACAAGGAAGAGAGTGGGATTATCAAGCCATGCACAGTTGTTCCTTTAATGGTCTCCAGCTCAGAGGAAGAAAAATGTCAGGATTCAACGCAATCAACTGTTTTATGTATAATGCACTACATTTTCAATTTTCCCCTGGGAAATGAAGCCCTTATATACCTATACATGTGCCCTTTCCCTGGATGCAAATCCAATCAAAAGCCAAGTTTTTGTGTTTGCACGCAGATGTTTCAATGCCCACCCAACAAGAGTTTCATCTGGAATATTTTATGCCCTACAGCATGTTTTGCATACCCTACTTTGGCAGTATATCAAGTAACGTGCAAAGAAGTTTATCCAGTGAACATTGTGGAAGGTTAGTTCACGGCTGGCAAGATAATACTTATACTCGAGTTCATGTGTACCCTCAGATAATGCAGACTTTGGTGAAATCGTGACTGGTGTACAGGGAGGTGAAGACTGTCATCCTCAGTTCATCTGCCCTCAGATTTCACATCCTTACTCTGACATCAGTTCCCAGGTTTGTTCACGTTACGAGCTCACAGAATTAATGATCATCACCTCTGTTTCAGGCTAGAGGAAGGGGGATTTTCACAGGTTAGTTTTTTTTCTTCTTGTAGTGGCAGCTACTTCAATGCCCTAAATGTTTAGGAGAGGTCAAAGCCCCTAAACAGAATGTTGATGGGTTTTATGGAACGGAGAGTTACAGAGAAGTGGACAATTGCAGAGACATAAATGATGACTGTTGTGATGAGCCAGTATTTGAGAGCATGGAATGCATGGATAGTTTTGCCGGGAAGCCACTATACCCTTTGTTCACATATGGGTTTTCTGAAGAAGGTATGTACAACAGTAAATATGTATGGTTTGTTTTATTCATATTCAACATTGCATAAGGGGTAATGGTGACTGGAGTCATGAATGACATCCCTAGTGAGGAACCAACCCCACATTTACCAGAGTCCCCGAATCAACCTCTACCAGCAGTGGCCAGATCTTTTTTTCCTTGGATTCGTCCCAGCTTCTTTTACCTGAGAAAAGGTGTTTATATACATAACAACACTGCATCAGTATATAACCATAAGTCCTTTGATGTCTTCAGCCATCAAGAGGACAGAAAAACTTTTTGAGCCTCTCATGAACAGAATCTTCCGACCCCTGAAACGGCCAGGGTACCCCTTCCCATCCCTGGATCTACCTCTGAAGACCAGCTCTCAGCAGCCGCAGGGGCAGGGGAGCAGCAGTCTTCCCACACCAGCTAGAGTGCTTCCAGCATGGCTCAGGGAATTGATGGCAGCCAAGCAAACCAACTGGCCGGACCCTCCAGGTTTCAAGCACTTACAATGGAGATTTTTACCTAACATTTGTTTTTATGCATGCATCTTGATGCACTTGTTGTTCTCAGAATTCGAAAAGAACACGTCTTTGCTCAACATTATGATTATTATTCATGTTGAGTGTCACATGGGATTTGTTGGCACAGTTGTGTGCAGCCCGAGGGTTTTTACGTCATGACTGTGCCAACAAATCCCATGTTGTCATGAGGTTTTGTTGCCACTTCTATAGCTTCCCAGGGTACATGATTTAAAGTAATAGTACTATAACAGACTAAAGAAGTATGCTACATGTGTGAATGTTGAGACACATAGACATTGTTGCTTTTACTCTAGTAGGTTATTTTGCCGGCCAATGATTGTGTGAAAAAGTAGCTGCACTTGATAGAAATGAAAGTGTATTACTAACTGGTGTGTTTTAGATCCCGGTGATTTGAAATCGCGCAATTTCATTGGTCCAAACGCGGGATCTATTTTCCGTAGATCCCGCTGCCCCGGACGACGGGATCTATTGGGGAGCGAGCGTGAAGACGCGATAGGTAAGAGACTCGAGCTACCAGCGGCGAGCCAGAAACGGTAGGCGAAAGCTACAGCACTCCCTCGTCGTCCGCCGCGCTTCGCGGAAAAGGGCCCCGCCCACTCTACGCGCACGTATCTGCAGGGCGTTCGAGGATTGGCTCGCGGCGAGCATGAATATGTCGAGTTCCTTCTCGGAGTCTTCCTCGTCTAGACAAGATAGTATCTCGTCGCTGAACAGCTCGCCTGGCGTGGCCATATCTTTGCAAACAGTTTGAATGGATCTAAACCGGTTAGACGCGTCGCCACGGTAACTACGCGTTGTAGAGTGCCTCGGGCTCCCTAGTAGCGCCCTCGCTGCGCTCGGGACGCCGACAGCTCGGGAGCCCTCGGCACTCTACCACGCGTAGTCACCTCAGCTCCGCATCTAACCTATATATAACTCCCCAGAAAACTACCACAAGATCGTGAAGTGGATGTACGCTGGAGTGGGGTTCAATGGACCTGGAAAACTGATGAACTTTGGAAGCTCACCCATTGTAGGGTGAGCTTTCTTCAGCAGCCTTGGCTGCTGGATTTTGCTGTTATGAAGGAGCCTCTCCTGATGTCAGTTATCATTTAAAAAAAGGTGTCTTGCTGCCTCAGCTATTATGTTACTTGTTTTGTGACAAGTGCATTTTTCACAATGCATTTCATTTATATTTTTATTGCCAGTAAATTGGATTTTGCTCCACGAGACCACAGCAGCACGTACGCCTACATACACATGCACTCATGTGTTGTTCTTTATTGGTGTAGGTCCCTCCTTTTTCATGACACTACGTCCTTTTTGGTATACACTAATGACATTATTGAGGGATTATTAGTGTAACACCTTAGATAAGACAAACCAGACAGAATTGTAGAACTTAACCCTGGGCTAAGCTTTATGTGCTAATATACCATTGTCCCACTGATTCACCATGTCCATCTTAAGTACTACTGTACTTAGTGATATTATATAGCACGCGTGGAGACACGGGTTGTAACTATATCTAAGACTACTACTATTATGATGTAGCTTATCCAAAGTGTTAGACTTGTATAGTGGGTGACTATACAATTGTTTTATTGACATATCATTTTCTATAAGGACGCTTATTTTAACTTCAACATCACTTCTTTAATAGAAGTGTCTCTCATTTGTCACCAAAGAATACAAGTTTTTGAGTCATTGGTATAATGAAAATCACTGAAGTGTAAACCCTCGGCGAACTGCGCATGCGTGATAGCGCTAATTGATGGGCTGGGCAATTAGTACGTGTACCAAGTACTGTAACCCTTGTTGCGCATGCGCGCCGGGGGTTAATAATAAATTATACAGATTTCAGAGCACCAGTGACTCTGACCATGACACAGCTACTGGTTCCAGCTACTGCATAAAGGCCCACCACAGCTTGGTGCAATCACACCAGAAAATAAACAAACAGGAGATACTCCTACATTCTCGTAACTCAAACTGGGGACTCCCCCTCATTCCTGGAAGACTCACTGAGCCAGAACACCAGAGCCAATGGAGAGGAACTGAGCCCACCTCCCAGGCCACCCAAACCCACTCCCTCCTCCCCCAAAACTGGAAAACCGGCTCCACCCACCCCACCTCTTGCTGGAGGCAGCACTAGTTCCAGTGGACGTAAGACCAGGGCACCTCCCATTCCCTGGGACCCCACCCCCTCTCCCACCCAGACCTGGGCAGAGAGAAGGAGGGAGGAAGAGTGAGGGGAGCATGTCTCTACCTCCACGACACATCAGGAGGTACCCGCTCTCCTCCAGTGGCTCCACTCCTGGACCAGGGAGTGGGTCACTCGACCAAGGAGACAGAGAAGAAGAGGTGTTTCTCAAGTACAACCAGTCATACCATACGATCACCAAACACTTTCACTGTGACCGATTACATACACAATAGATAGATTTTTTGGAGAAGCATTGCTATTTCATTATGTGTCACACTCCTCCCAGACAAATGTTATAATAATACTTGGAAAACTTGACTTCACATTTTCCCACATAGTTGTGCATTGTGCGTGCACTTGCCGAAACACATGCTCCCAATGCAAACATGTTATTGCACTTCATTAGTGTGCTGTCATGTGACACTGTTTACTCAGCACTGTGAATACTGTCTTTACTATACCCATACTGTCTGGAGTGGACTGTTTACTTAGTGCAGTACAGAGCTACATTGTTCAAAGGGTATATACATCATTTTTTTCCTAGTTTGTTGTGGTCAATTTTTATAATTAAGAACAGTAGCACATGTTTTTGATGAATACGCCACATGTCGTAACGTTATTATGTATTGGACGAACGCACAGCATAAGCCACATTCTGGTCAGTGGGTATTGTGGTGGTGGTGACATAGGCTGTGTTGGGTTCAGTTGGAATGACAGAGGATGAGGTGGTGGTTGGGGGAAGAACCACCTCATCATACACCACATTTCTGGTCTGGAGACCTGCTGCAAGAGACCACACAATAATACTTAAACACAACTGTCTAGAAGTGTGCTGGAACAACCCACACACATGCCATTGTTGGCATGCTTGATTAGTTTGCTGTCATGTGACACTGTTTACTCATCACTGTGAATACAATATCTAAACATCATGCCATTATGTCTGGAGTACACTGCTATGTACTAACCCACAAGCACATATTATTTCAAGGGGTACATTATTGTTACTGTATAATATAGCAGGTTTGGCAGTAGATTCTTGCTTGATGCATTCACAAACATTACCTGCATCAGATGCAGGTGTGGACCTGCTGCGGTTATACCGTCTGACCATCACCAGGACCAACACTGCTGAGCCACATACTAGAGCACACACCACTACTGTGCCTGCAGGAGGATAAACCATTGTGGATTTAGCTTTGATACCATAAACACCCACCAATGGATATGGCAACAACTGGTCCTTGGGAATTGTGCTTTCCTTCTTCTTTCCCTCTGTCTGTTTTATCTGTAGCTCAATGAAATGTGACACTATATAATTATACTTAGTTTTCACAATTGGTCTTTGAGTATGTTTGCATAACTTTCATTGTTGTGAAAGTTTCCCAAATAACTAAATTTCTTCTTTTACCTGAGTCACTGAATTTAGTATACACCAGTGGCTCTTCATCAAAACTCATTGCACCATTCTTCCCAAACAGTGCAAAGGTATAGTTCTCAGGGTTGTCCACAGTGATAGAGACAGGGAAATCAAGGAGTTGGGGAATGTCCACCACTGTCAGGAGAGGACTGCCATACTCTCTGTAGACCAGGACACATGAGGCCTCGGGATAGACCTCTGAGAATTCACAGTCTATCACTACAGTTGATCCTCTTTGGGACATGCTGGCACTCTTCAAATAGAGGGAAGGTACTGAATCCACAATATCTGTGAATATTAAACCCTAAAAAATAGCACAAAATATAAATGTTTTTAATAACCTGAGGTGTTCACTATCTGACTCTCCAGTACCACAGCAGGCATGGTGTTGGGTAGTCCATTCTCCTCAAGGTCATATCCATACACAGTGTGAGTGGAGGGAGGGACAGGTACATTGGTGGAGACAGTGTCCTGAGACTGGGTCGTCAGGAGAGCTCTGAATATGTCCGGAGAGGAGCGAGGTCCCTGGAGACCACCAGACATCCTGCAGCTCGTGACCTACTCATGAACTCCCTCTCACTAATACTCCTCCTCCTCTCCTCCTCTCCTCCTCCACTGACAGACTCTGAACATCATAGGTTGCTATATACAACATTCACGAGAACTAGTATAGGCACACACTCATTGGTTGTCTTACTGAAGGTATCATGAGATACATTCACAGGTCCACCAGCTGTGAACACTTCAAAGAATATGCTAAAGTTTTTGTTTGCTGAGAGTGTGTATGTTGAAACTCCATGGTCGGAGGACAAAGAAATATTTTTTAGGTCCATATCTGACACTCCATGAAGAATGTACTCATCTACCATCTCGTTGTATTCCTGTAAACAGTGGTATGCTGTATTTATAATAAGACCATCTGCAGAGTCAACACTTACATAAGTAACTGCAACATCGTCATCACAAACAGCTTCGATACGACTTCTGATGAAAGTAGAACTTCCTAACAGAGAAAATATATCTGAACATTATATTATATGGCTCATGCTCAAGGGATCAGGCTGGTGCCGTTGAAGATTAAATTGACATACCAATGGTAATAGTAATGTTGGGACTCCTCTCTCAGCATCCATTCAGAGGGATGACAGAGGATTGTACACATGACAAGACTGAGGTAGTCAGGAGTGAAGGTGTAGTGTGTCTCAGTGATATTGATACAGTCAGTACAGAGGATGGCTGTTGGGTTGTTCTCATCTGTCACATTGTAGATGAGGACAGAGTACCAGATATCAGGACCAACACCAGTCACATCCAGAGAGAATGGAGCACTCCACGAGATGGTCACTGAACTAGCATCGCTGACGGCACTCAGATTAGGTACAGCCCTCGGTGGCCCTGAATAATTTCATAACTATAATAATTATTATAATATTTTTAAAACTAATACCTGGAATAGTCAATGTGGCATTGTCACTCTCCACAACGGGGCCACCAATTATCACAGACAGACACTGAATTCTAGTTCCATTGTACTGGGGTCTAGCTGGGATAGTCAAAGTCTGCACCGAATGCCCTTCAGGAGTAGTGCTCTCTGAGACAACTAGATCACTACGTATTTCAGGTAAAAGGATTTCTCGCTGAGTTCCATTGACTCTCCACGAAGTGATGCCACCTCTCGTCTCACATGTAAAAACTGCCCGTTGGCTTAGAAACACAGTTGTACTCTCAGGAGCATGGACAATCTCTGGGGAAGACATAGACAGTCATTTTTTATTAGATTATTAGAGTATACACCTTGAGCCACACAAGATAAAGTAAGCAAAAGAACGACCACTGATCCTCCGGCAGAGAAATACATCGTCCCGTATCCGATTATCTAGCTAATAGTATTACGTAACGGGATATTACGTCGTTACGTAAAAGTGAGGACCGGTGTGGACGGCCTCAGTTTGGACGTTTCGTTGTTGTCCTCCTCTACTGACAGTGATCAAGAAGAAGAAGAAGAAGCGCTGCAGAGAGTTGTTGCCGTGAGTTGTTCACCCGGGTTGTAAGTTCCATAAGCTGGGGCTATAAACGGCTGAAAGCATGGCCTGAAGACAGCCACTATAGCTATATAGACGCTGGAAGTGAGGGACCTACCTAATACGTAAATTCAGAAGCCCGAGGGCGGAGCTGTGGTGTCCCGAGCGCAGCGAGAGCACTACATTGCCGAGGTGTTCCAGGATCTTTTCATACGCGCGCGCGAAGCGATCGAGACTGCAGCAGCATGTCTCAAACTTGGTAACGTTGTAGAAAGGCAAGGCAAGGTAAACAAGTTAACTACACCCAGGACAACTCTTTCTTCTCAAGGAAAAGAAGAAGAGCTGCCCTGGGTGGGATTCGAACCCACGACACTCTGCAGTCTAGGCGAGCGCTTTACCAACTGAGCTACCAGGGCAACTCAGCTGGTGTAGGGGTGCACGCGCCGAACGGAAGCCGCGTTCGAGTGGAACAAGCGTAAACGGCAAAAAAGCGGGCGGCGGTGCTTCACACCGCGGAACGGTACGAGCCTTTAGCTCAAGTGTTACAACGGCTTTTGTCGGTAAGACCAGCAATATGCACAGGCTAGGCTTACAGCAGGAGCTGGCTCCGCGCTCCTCTAGCTTTTTTCAGCGCCATTGGCACGCCCCCTTTTCTCCTTCACCCGCGGTACATATACGGAACGCCAAATGCGTCGATCATCGTTGTGTGGTAATCGTTCGTCGTTGTGGAGTAATCGTTGTCGTTCGTTTTCCAGCGTTTATTCAAAACCGGTATGGCATGATGACGATCGATTACCTCTGAACGCGGTTCTATTCCAGCACGACTGGTATATACCGGTTTTGAATAAACGATGTACGCTGGAAAACGAACGACGAACGATTACCACACAACGACGATCGATAGCGTTTACAATTTGAATACGTTTTCACTATTGTTGTCGCATTTGGCGTTCCATAGATGCGCACGTACACATACGCGTTCTTGACGTATTTGTTTTATCGTGATGTATATCCTGTTGATAATGTGTAAACATTGTAGAAGTTGTAGGTTCCTTACCATGTTTTCATGTTAGAATTGTATAGGTTCCTTATATACCATGTTTTTTGTACATTCACATTCAAAACAAGTTACTAGGCAAAATCAGAAACTTTGTATTGACCTATCATTCAAATTCAAATGAGCTATGCACTAAAATTATTAAAATGGTGCGGGGTGTGGTTTTAGTCTCGGTAAAGCCCCTCTCACAAGGAAGCACTACTGGGACTCCAGGTTGACCGCTCTCTCCCTAACCAGTTTCATTTGGTTTAGAGGAATGACCCTCAGTGTTTGCACTTGTATTGAGGGGAATAGATCAGCTGCTGGAGATTGTCTGAGAGTCCCTAGACAGTCTGAGGGAAGAAAGCATGTAGTTCGTGTTAGGTAGGGAGTTACATATGGGAGGAACAACTTTCGCTGCTTGAGCTTGTACAGAGTTCTGAGTATTTGGTATATATTTTGGAGTAAAAGGGAATGTGGCAGCATAATATAGGAGCTAAAGGTAAACAATGCCCCCACCCACCCAGTACAAGAATGCAATTAAGTTTCCATTTTCAGTAACAGTTTCTAAATTTAATAAAAGTGCCACATTCCCTTTAAGAAATGCAGCCCTACGTTGTAAAAGGCAAATACAGCTCACCAATACAGCTCACCAATACAGCTCACTCTCAAAAGAGCAGGTTTGGTAGCTATGCTAGTGTGGGCTCCCATGCGACTGAGGGCCTGCAATCTAACAGCATTCTTGGTGGTTTTGCTGAGTTGGCATGTAGGTATGAGCTAATTGGGCAGTCTCTCTAGCACACGTGGTGGTATATGCAGACGAACAAAAGCAAAAAATGGCTATTTATGTACCTTTGGTAAAATTAGCACACCTAAGAGGTTGGACGTTAGACCATTTCCCCCTAAATAAGGGATGAGATCTTGGAACAATTAAGACCACGTGCACCACTCATTTGCTGTCAACTTCTACTGTGAACATGATATTGAATAAGACTCAACCAGCCTAGAAACTGCTGTACATTGTACCTTAGCAGAGCCTTTTATCCATTACTTACCATTAGTAGAAGTACAGTGTAACCAGCAGGTGTAGTTCTAATCTACACTTGTGTGTACTCATCTCACAAAAGTCAACTACTGTACCTGCTGCTGCATAAAGACAGGGAGTATGTACCCAACAGCGTTTGAGCAACAGCATCGTTCGTCGTATAAGGTTGTCAGTGTGGCACAGCAGGAATACCCTCGTGCGAGCAATATTAGGACGAGGGTCTGGGTAGTAGAGCTAACGTCAAAGGCAAGGTCGGTAGGTGTGGAAAAATGGTGGTATCTGAGACAACTGTGCACTATAGTACCTGTGTGTATGTGTGGGAGAGGGTGTCAAATATCGCCATAATTGCTACTATTAGTATGTCAGTATTCTGGACTGTATGAAGATACTTCCCCAGCCGGGTGCCCAGGCCAATCCTCAGGGTCTCGGTGTATACAAGAGACTGCATAATTACCAGGTTTGTTTAACAATTCCTCTACAGCCTAAAGAGCCAGTTATTGCAGTGGATGGTCAAGTCATGGCTCCAAGTAAGTAATTAACTTTCACCTTCAAATTGTAGTGAGTTTTACAGTACTTGGTCTGTGTATGCATGTATGTTTGTCTCTCTGGTATATACCACTAATTAACCCTCAGTGCGCATGCGCAGCGAGGGTTACTGTAGTTGTCGTGTGTGTGTCTGTCTGTCCGTTCCACGACATCTCACTTCACGAGCCATCAATCGCTCCACAAACAATACCACATATTCAGTGTTGCAAAAAGGTTGAAATATAATATATAGGATTTTCTCTGAAACTGCTGCGTTCGAGAGTTACGGTGTTAAACACGAGCGAAAAAGCCAATATGGTAATTAGAACAGGCTTACCTCGAGCGGGTCCGCTTGCTCTGTGTATCTTGAAGGCACAAGAAGTCACAACAAAGGGCCTCCCGCATGCTATCTACTGCTGTAGCTAGCCCGTGTCAGACTCTCCGCGAGCTACTAGCGGGAGACCACCAGTAAACGCATACTAATAGCCTAGCCCATAAATTAGCGGTACCACGCATGCGCAATTCGCTGAGGGTTTGCACTTCAGTGCTTTTTCATTAATTCACGCACTTGAAGAAGAAGAAACAATTTACACAACTACAGTTGACTCACTTACCTTGTGAAATTGCAAAGTTCTAGTCATGTACATTTAATTTTATTCCTTGTCACATGTTTTCATATTCATATGCTCTATGTATTTTATTTCTTGTGCTAGCTCATCAGAATTGTACTGTATTCATGTGTTGTTGTTGGGTGGCCGTTCTGGTCTCACTCACGTAGTGGTTCAAGATCACACTATATATCTGATATGGTTGGGTTCACTTGCAATTTCTTAGCAGAGTTGTACTACGTTGTTGCTGGGGGGTCATTCTAGTCTATTGTACTATCACTCACGTAGTGGTTCAAGATCACACTATTATGCTTTCTTACAGTTGGAGGTGAAATTCTGGTGTTGCTTCTATTAGCTGCAGCCCACTGTTTTGCCCAAGGTAATATTCAATCCCCGATATTGTTTTGCTATCGCCTAGCAACCTAATCTAATTGGCAGCTATGGTAAGTAGATGCCCGATGATGACCAAGGGACAAAATTCGGGTCATGGACAACTGTTTTTGTTTCTCTTTTCCATTTGCTCACCATTCCTTCCAGAGATTCTCCGTCCTCCCGAGAATACAACTGTCTTTCTAAACCAATCAGCAGTTTTTACATGTGAGACAAGAGATGGTTTAACTTCGTGGAGATTCAATGGAACACAGCGAGAGCTCCTTTAACCTGAGATACGTAGTGATCTGATTACCTCGGTTATTACTACTCCTGAAGGGAGTTCAGTGCAGAATCTGACCATCCCAGCCAGAGCCCAGTACAATGGAACTATAGTTCAGTGTCTGTCTGTGGAAGTTGGTGTCTCCTTTGTGGAGAGTTACAACGCCACATTGACCATTCAAGGTATTAGTTCTTTACACCTCCAACTGTTTGCTAATCCACCACATCTATTCACTTTCTGTATGTCTGTTTGTTAATCCTCATTGCGTAAGCATAGCATGAGTACTTATCTTGTGCGTGTATTTGTTATGGATATTCTGCACTATAGTCTAATGTTGTAAATGCATTACTACTTGTTAACCCTCGGCGCGCATGATACGAGGCGGCCTATTAGCGATACCAGCGGCTACGCGAGCCTGAAAAATAAAAGGGTGATTTTCCTGAAACGACTACGTTCGAGAGATATGCCGTGAAAACAAGCCGGAAAAAGCCAATATGCATAGTCGTACCAGCTTACCTCGACCGATCCGCTTGTTCTTTGTACCTTGCAAAGGCACAAAAAGTCACGAAGGCCCTCCCACATCGGCATGCTATCTTAAAGTGTAGCTAGCCTGTGTCAGACTCTCCACGACCAACTAGCGTGGAGACCACGAGTAAACACATACTCATAGCCCAGCCCATCAACACACATGCGTAATGCACAGAGGGTTTGCACTTCAGTGCTTTTCATTCACATTGTAACATACATGCACTGTAGACATGCACATAAACTGTAGGTGCAGTTGGAAATCTTTGGTAAGTTTTGTTGAGTCAGCCCATCATTGTGTACTCCGATGTCAACTATCCCTCACTCAGCTTGTGTGTATACGCAGTGCACAGTACGTTACAGTACTTGGGTTGTGGGTCAGTTTGTGAAAGTATTCAGTGGGACATACCAATGCCTCTGAGGCAGCAAGATCATTGATAACTGCATGCCACTGTATGTGAGAGGTGTAGTGTGAAACACACGAGTGGAAAAGCCGATATGCTAATAAGGAATGGTCTACCTCAACCCATAAGTACACCGTGGGGGGGGCACAAAGTTACTGAGGCAGCATGTGAGAGGTGTAGTGTGAAACACACGAGTGGAAAAGCCGATATGTAATAAGGAATGGTCTACCTCAACCCATAAGTACACCGTGGGGGCACAAAGTTACTGAGGCAGCATGTGAGAGGTGTAGTGTGAAACACACGAGTGGAAAAGCCGATATGCTAATAAGGAATGGTCTACCTCAACCCATAAGTACACCGTGGGGGGGGCACAAAGTTACTGAGGCAGCATGTGAGAGGTGTAGTGTGAAACACACGAGTGGAAAAGCCGATATGCTAATAAGGAATGGTCTACCTCAACCCATAAGTACACCGTGCACAAGTTGATGGCAGCATGTGAGAGGTGTAGTGTGAAACACACGAGTGGAAAAGCCGATATGCTAATAAGGAATGGTCTACCTCAACCCATAAGTACACCGTGGGGGGGGCACAAAGTTACTGAGGCAGCATGTGAGAGGTGTAGTGTGAAACACACGAGTGGAAAAGCCGAGATTTGCTAATAAGGAATGGTCTACCTCAACCATAAGTACACCGTGCACAAAGTTACTGAGGCAGCATGTGAGAGGTGTAGTGTGAAACACACGAGTGGAAAAGCCGATATGCTAATAAGGAATGGTCTACCTCAACCCATAAGCACACCGTGGGGGGACACAAAGTTACTTGGAGGACGAGTGTCCAGTCCAGCAGTGCTCCAAACACTAGTCACAAATTTTGCTACAAGCAACATGTGTTTTTTCACATTGTAACACTCATAGCTACACTTCTAAACATGCACAGCAAGCTGTAGGCACAGTAAGAAATTTTGTAGCAACAGTGTAGGTGTAGAAAGTCAGCTCTTTGCATTGTATACCCACGTGGAGTAGCCCTCACTAGTTTGTGTGTAGTGTACAGTACGTTAGAGTAGTTGGGTTGTGGGTCAGAAAACATTCCCCTGAGTGCCAGGAATGTAAACTGTTTATACAGGTTCTTGTATATACTTCTGGTGTCCTCCTCTACAATGTGACATGTACAAAGATACAAGTAATTGTATACTCAGGGGGCACCTTATCAGTTGTGTACACACATGAACATGAATGTGGATGTAATGTGAAAGTGGCATAAATAGCCTCACGTGGTGGATAGTAATGATTTCTTGGTAAAAGGACTCCAAATAACATATATATACTCAGTTTCTACAACCTAGTTGTCAGATAGTTAGGCGAGTATCAATTCTAGGTGGATGGTATATATGGCCTTGAATCATATTTTTCATTGACTATGTTTTTGCACGCACATGCAACATGACATACTATAGTAAAATGTCTCAATTGAAGATGCATATAAATTGCATCCAGGTACACTGTCAGCAGTAGGTGATTTGAGAGCCTCCAGCAATGCCAGCTCAGTGACCATATCGTGGAGTGCTCCATTCTCTCTGGATGTGACTGGTGTTGATCCTGATATCTGGTACTCTGTCCTCATCTACAATGAGAACAACCCAACAGCCATCTCCTCTGTCAATGTTACTAACACAAGTTATACCTTCACTCCTGACTCTGCCACTACCTGTCAGAAGTTTCTCTTCTCTGTCATCCCTCTGAATGGAGCTGGCCAGGGAGAGAGCAGTCCCAATATCACTGGATATGTTATCAACTGTGAGTACATTTTATAGCGGCAATGTGCTGATTATCTGCATCTGCTTCAACGGTAATTTTTAGTACCTACTCTTTTATGTCCCAATGCCGCATTATTTTGTAGTAGTGTCCCTGCGTCTGAGGTATAATATTGAACTTACATGCTACTACTTTTGCCATCCAAAATAGCACACAATGTCCTTGATAGCTTGGAGCCTAGCATCAGCTTCCGTGTTGATAACAACCTCTACCTCTTTGACGCAACATCACCTGTGGATGTGTGCAAATGCCCATACCAGTTCTTCACCTTGTTCACATGTTTTAGCACTTGCCATATCGGTCATGTTTGCAATTTGTGTGAAAATGACACCGAATTTCACCAGAAATTGTGCAGACCCATACTGATGTGACTTACAATAGATAACTGGATGGTACGAAAACTTGTGATTATATTAGTGGTACTGCTGCCATTCCCGCATGAAGAGACCACTTACTGCTTGTTCTCCTTTCATTATAGCTTCAGCACTTATAATGACTCACATCCGAGCTATCTCTAGGGAAAAGACCAATGTCACCTTTATAACAAGGGTCAGTATTAATTTTAGTACCGTACATAATACTAAATGTCTGTTATTTTTGTGATAGGGTAATCCCACCAGTAAATTTTGTAGTAGCTGGAGGGTCACTCCTGATGTAGTGGATGATCTTGTCATTGAAGAGCCTCCATCACCAGAAGGACCAGATGTCACCTACCAACTCCGTGCTGACAATAGATATTCATTCCTGGTGTCCCTTCCTAATACCACTAGTGGAGTAGCCCACCCACCGATCAATTTCAGTAATTTCCAGCAGTATAAAACTGAATGTGTGGTGTGTCTTTTGTGCCTGATAGCATATTATGGCGAAACATAGTAGAGGGTTCTCAAAAATCACTTTAGCATGCTGCTATGCTTGAAGGAGTAACCTGGAGCATAATTGCGTCTTGATTTTCATGATGATACTGTTATCTACATACCTCTGTGCAAAGGAATTGCATATTTTAATTGCAGCTACATATGATGTCCAGAGTGCTGCCGCTAACACCACCAAGGGTACCAATAATAAGATAAATTTGACTGCAGAGTTCATTGAAAGCACGACGGCTCAAGGATGTTTCGTAGTTTTAGAGTGTGAATATGGAAATCCTGATGTGTTGAGGGCCATACTACTGCCTAATGACTCCAGCACTTCTGTGGAGAGTACTATTGATAACATTTTATCTTCAACGTATCATGTGTTAGTGTATGACCTTGAGGAAGATGGACGGCCTAACAGCCATCCTGCTGTTGAACAGAACACTATTGTCACTGTTACAGGGAATGGTGAGTGTCTGCTGATTAGTTTACATTTGGCTCTTATTCCTCATGCCAATTTCTATTGCAGGTCCCTTCACTGATGCAGAATCTCATTTTATGAACAATGGCAGTTTGTACTGGAATGGGACAGCAGTGAATGTCAGATGTGAGTTCAAAGAAGGTATAGAGGGAGCCTCATGTGTCCTGGTCTATCGAGAGTAGTTGGTAACAAGACACTAGTGGTGGAGGAAATATCCTCAGAACACTGCTTCCCTGTGACTCTGACTGTTGGTGCCGATCTTGAGAAGTACACATTTGCTCTCTTTGGGAAGAATGGTTCCAGTTTTGATGAAAGACCAATAATTGCAGGAAAAATTAATGTTACTGAGACAACTACACCAGTATCAACATCCTCTGGTATGTGTAATTAGCCCTTAGCTTGCATGTGGAGTATGGTAATTTATTTTTAACCCTCGGCATGCATGCACAGTGGTGGTTACAGTCCTTGGATTGCCTGCCTGGCTGCCAGTTAAACCTTAACTGCTACGCATATTGTACACATCAACTCTATGTGCCTGCATTCCTTGCGCCGAGGGTCTGTACTTTTTTGCTTTTTCATTCTGTCAGTTCTTTTATAGGATAGATGTGTATGTACCTACAAGGATTTTCCTGTTTTCTAGATGGAAGCACACCATCAATGGATATTGGAGTGTCAACTGTATCATTTTTAATCGTTATTATTGCCATTGCTCAACTAATGTCAAATGGTGGTGGCACCCAACAACAAATAGATGTATATGCTGAAGGACCCCCTACGCAGTATGTGAGCACTCCTCCACAGATGTCCAAACAGAAGGGGATATACACCGATGTGGAACCCTCAACATCAGCAGTGCAACCCCCTATCCCAGAGGAGTACCAGGAGATTGACTTCAGTACCAGGAGATTGACATCAGAACTACTTGACATCGGAACTACTCATGTCAGCTAATGATCACATGATAGTCACATGACTCATGTTATGATCCTCTCTTTCCACAGAAAATGGCCCGTTCTGCCTATGCTGTGATGGGACCTCTTCCTGCCGGCAGACCCAAACCCTTGGAGATGGACACAAGGACACAGTGTCCTTATGTCACAATCCTACCTCATGCCACTACTCCTGTCAATGACAATGGCAACAGAGGTTAGTAGTGATAGCACCATGTAGGTAATTGTAAGGCTGTGTTCTACTACTTGTCACAGACAACAAGAATGCAGACCAGGCAACACCGAAAGGTTGAAAGGCTGCAATGCTCCGTTATTTGTCCTACATCCATTACATGTCTCCTCTTCCCCTAGGACCCCCCACAGTGGAGTCAGTGATGTCACTGTTGTGGGGTGTGGCAGGTCGTTGGAAGGAGATAGCAGAGGGTCTGGAGTTTGATGAGGATCTGATTGATGAGATAGACACCAACAACGACATGAATGAGGGCTGTCTGCAGGTGTGTGTGGAGATCTGGGTCACCAAACTACAGCCATCCTGGAAGAAACTATCTCGTGTACTGAAGGAACTGGGGGAAGTGGAACTGGCCCGTCAGGCCTTGAATAAAGGTATAGTGTTCTAATGTGTAATACTTGGCAGCGGCTGTTCCCTACAATTGGCATACAGAGCCACAAGAGCAGTGGCAGGTACCGAGTAGGCAGACCAGTGACACAAGCTCAAGTGGAGTTGGTTCACCTGTGTCAAAAAACTGAAATGTTGTTTGTGCTATATACAGTTGCTGATGCTAGTGTTTTTGGTGAGGTACTGCCTGGAGTTAAGGAGACAGTAGCTCCTGATGATGGCAACAATGAAGATGGATGCAGGGGAGGCAAGGTATGTCTGCAGAGTAGCTGACTCTCAGAGTGAGCATAACATGCTCTGAATGTCTTAGAAAACGATGCCAAACGATTGTTCAAGTGGCGAGCAAGATGCCAGATCTGTCTTTTTTGCTTACCCTGCTCTCCACGAGGGGGGTCCAACTGTCAGTGAGAGCTGTGATGAGGATGAGGAGACCAAGTGTGATGTTGGAACTGAAGCCACCGTCCAATCAGAGGAGAGGGAGAAAGGTTGGCAAATCAGTAGCCATGGTTTTGTGTGAGATACTGTAATTACAGTCACCATCGTGAGTGGCACTGGTCTGTTCGACTTTCCCTACAAACCTACCCTTGAAGGTAAACAGCTCTATTATTGCAGTTTATCTTTAATTACTCGTGATTTTCACATGTTGCTCAAGAATTCCACGTGCTTCCCCCATTGGAGGGCAATGGTAAGTTAACTCCCATTAAATGTGGTTTGTTAAGGAAGAGTTATGTACTGCAGATGATCCGGACTTTGCTCAAGATCCAGTGAGTCTGCACGGAGCAGATGATGACTACCACTCTGGGTCCATCAGTTCTGGGAGACAGAAATCAGCAGCCACCTTAGACACTGCCAAGGTTCCACTGTGCTGACTATTTGTATCTTTGATTGTTTGTTTCCATTGTTTTATAGGTCGTTGGAAGGGATTTTATCACAGGTTTGTTTGAGCCTTGGTAAATGTTAAGTATTTCTGTGTTCAATTCTCAGGAGATGTGGTGGTGGTCCCTCAGCAGTGCACTGGTTTCAGTGGTATCACTGGACCGGAGGAGACGGACACAACCAGAGGTCCATTCAGACAACCTGCAAAAGAAGTGGACAGCCTATCATGTGTGTCAATGAGAGTCAGCAGAGTGCAGGAAGGTTTGGGCTCAACAAGGCAGTCTACCTTTCTTTTAGTTTTCCTGTTGGACAAGGTATACACACCATGTATGTAACTTCACCAATACATTCTAAGGAATGCTGGCGGTATGGAGGCCATCACCAGCCTGACATCTCAAAAGGTGCCTCTGACACACTCCAGGACACAGAGGAGAAACCAGCCCCAACCAACCCCAGAGGGACCGACTCTCCCAGCAACTACCACAAGACCCCACTCCACCCCAGTCCCGCCCAGAGGTCTCACCTCTTCAATTGCAGGAGAACTACCCACCCACTCCTCCACCTGACACTGTCAAGGAATGGCAAGGGCTCAATCCCCCAGGTTTGTACTGTAAAACATATCAGTGGCTTGTGTTACGGTATGAAGCACTTCTCCATGTAAATTGTTCACATTAAGTGAGAGTTTCCTTTGCAATAGCACAGTTGTGGAAGTTTTCATTTACCTTGTGTTGTATTTTGTGGTAGATTTGAGCCTCTGCCTGGTGAGCTGCCATGCCATTCATGGGTTCCAATCCCACCTAGGACAGCTCTTATATAAGAACCTGGGTGTATAGTGACTTGTTTGGTTTGGCTTTGCCTCACGTTAATGTGTGTGCTGATTCATCCTAGATACAGTACTTGTCCTCCCAGCCGCTCCTTTACTCCCACCTACAGGAAAGATCATGAAGTGGTTGGAAGCTGGAGTGAGTCGTGGTTTGCGCGGCCGGATGAACTCATTAAAGGGGGCTCCCCACTCGGTTGAGCTCCCTTCTTCAGCAGCCATTTCTAAATAGACTGAGGCTGCTGAGATTTGCTGTTATGAAGGACAATGCTCCTGATGTCAGTTTTTTTAAAAATGTGTTTAGTCTGACATGTAGTCATGTTTTCCCTCATGATATTTTTATCCAGAATTGTACGGTGCATTTATTCCAAGTTCTCTATCTGTTACAATAATGTGTATGAATTTTTTTTATGTTTTAACTATTACTGTATAATTAAATTATTGTGTGTATAATGCTTGTCTGACAAGTAGTAATTTTATGGTGCATCTCATGTTCTATTATGATAAAGCTCTGGTCTGCACACTCGTTACGCATGCGCCTGAAGTTATCAAAGTGCAGGGGGAGGAACTTTGCTTCGCATTTTTTCATGCATTGTGTGCACTCCACATGTAGTTATGCATTGTGCATGGATACATGCAATTGCATTGTAAATACATGCCCCTCAATCCAAACATGGTTGGCATATGTTTGTTGCGGTTCGTTAGTATGCTGTCATGTGACACAGCTCAATGTGAATACCGTCTTTCCTATTATCTAAACACGCCATAATATCTTGAGTGCACTACTAACCCACAGCCACATATTATTATTTCAAGGGGTAAATGATGCCTGGTGCCAGTTTCTAAAAAATAATACTGTATTGTATATGTATACCCTTTTTTATGTTCTCCCGCTCTTATATAATTATTTCTCTGGAATTTTATGGTGCATGTGTTTATTCTGATGAACTCTAATCTGCCTGAAGTCATCAAGTGCACAGTGGAAGCTGGCTGCACATTTTCCCAATGTGGTTGTGCATTGTGTGAACACACATGTCCAACTGCAACCCAAATACATGCAGTTGGCATGGTTGTTGCGGTTCATTAGTGTGCTGTCATGTGACACTGCTTACTCAGCACTGTGAATAAAATTATACATACCCTATCTATATTATACGCTATACCCAATGATGCATAGTTATGGATTGTGTGCACACACACACACATGCCATGCTTGTTATGGTTCATTAGTGAGCTGTCATGTGACACTGCTTACTCAGCACTGTGAATACATACACATCTATAAACATGATGCCATAATGTCTGGAGTACACTGTTACATACTAACCCACAGCCACATTATTTCAAGTGGTACATCATTATTTTTTGCTCAGTGTCTTATTCAACAGCATCTATTAATAAGCAATGACACTAAAACCAGTAACATACATTATGACGATGAATGCGCAGCATAAGCTACATTCTGGTCAGTTGGTATTGTGGTGGTGAGTGACATAGGCTGTGTTGGGTTCAGTTGGAATGACAGAGGATGAGGTTGGGGAAAGAACCACCTCATCATACACCACATTTCTGGTCTGGAGACCTGCTGCAAGAGAAAACACACACAACTATTAAGTGAGAACCTTTACCAATTACTGCAGCAGGTTTGGCAGTAGATTCTTGCTTGATGCATTCACAAATATCGTTTACCTGCATCAGATGCATGGGTGGACTTGCTGCGGTTATAATACCGTCTGACCATCACCAGGACTACCACTGCTGAGCCACATACTAGAACACACACCACTACTGTGCCTGGAGGAGGATAAACCATTGTGGGTTTAGCTTTGATACTGTAAACACCCACCAATGGATATAGTGCAACAAACTGGTCCTGGGACATTGGCTTTCCTTTCTTTCTCCCTCTGTCTGTTTTATCTGTAGCTCAATGAAATGTGACACTATACTTTCACAATTGGTCTTTGGGTATGTAAACAGTTTGCATAACTTTCATTGTGGTGAAAGTTCCTAATGAGGTTCTAGTGATTCTTACCAGAGTCACCGAATTTAGTACACACCAGTGGCTCTTCATCCAAACTAGTTGCACCATTCTTCCCAAACAGTGCAAATGTTATAGTCTCAGGGCTGTCCACAGTGATAGAGACGGGGGGAATCAAAGAGTGGGGAATGTCACCATGTCAGGAGAGGACTGCCATACTTTCTGTAGGACCAGGACACATGAGGCCTCGGGATGGAGCTCTGAGAATTCACAGTCTATCACTACAGTTGATCCTCTTTGGGATATGCTGGCACTCTCCAAATAGAGGGAGGGTTTAACTTTGTCAGCATCTGTAAACAAGCGTTTGTAACATTCTAAGAGGTTGAATAGCTGACTGATTTGAGCAATATTTGGTTCTCTAGAAGATAGCAGGCATGGTTGTTGGGTTAGTCCTTCTCCTCAAGGTCATATCCATACACAGTGTAAGTGGAGGAGGGACAGGTACAGTGGTGGAGACAGGTCTGAGACTGGGTCACTCAGGACGAGCTCTGAAGACATCAGGAGAGGAGGGACGGTCCATGGAGGACACCAGACATCCTGTAGCTCGTGACCACTCATGAACTTCCTCTACTAACACTCTTCCTCCTTTCTTCCTCTTCCACTGACAGACTCTGGACATCATAGGTTGCTGTATATATATACATGAGAACTAGTATGACACACACATGGTTGTCTACTGAAGGTATCATGAGATACATTCACAGGTCCAGCGCAGCTGTGAAACTTCAAGAAGTGCTAAAGATTTTGTTGCTGAGAGTGGTGTAGTTGCAACTCGATGGTTGCGAGGACCACAAGAAATATTTTTTAGGACCAGCTCCGACATCATGAAGAATAGAAAGATGACTGGTTCATCCTCTCCGTGTGGTGCTGCAACAGTGGCTATACTATAAGACTATCTAGAAGAGTTAAAACGTACATAAGTAACTGCAACATCAGTCACACGAGCTATGATATGAGTTCTGAGAAGTAGAGCCTCCTAAAAGAATAAAGGAAAATATTATAGAGGTCATGCTCAAGCGACCACAGCTGGTGGTTGCAGGTAAAATTGCACATAGCTAGATGGTAATAGTGGGCTGCTCTCTCATGCCAGCTCCATTCAGAGGGATGACAGAGAAGTTTGTACACATGACAAGGACTGAGGTAGTCAGGAGTGAAGGTGTAGTGTGTCTCAGTGATATTGATACAGTCAGTACAGAGGATGGCTGTTGGGTTGTTCTCATCTGTCACATTGTAGATGAGGACAGAGTACCAGATATCAGGATCAACACCAGTCACATCCAGAGAGAATGGAACACTCCACGAGATGGTCACTGAGCTGGCATTGCTGGTGGCTCTCAAATCACCTACTGCTGATAGTGGACCTGGTGCACATTCATATCTTTAATAACTTACACTAGTAATTGTAGCTACCTTGAATCCTCAATGTGACATTAGCACTCTCCACGAATGGACCACCACGTTGTTGTACAAAACACGAAACTCTAGTTCCATTGTACTCAGCTTTGGCTGGGATAGTCAGACTCGCCAGTCTAGTCCCTTCTGCAGTGTTAGCACCGATGGTTTCCAAATCCATTTCTATTGCAGGTGGAAGCTCATCCAGTTCAGTTCCATTAACACTCCAACCAGTGGAACCACCATCTGTCTCACATGTGAACACTGCTGACTGGTTCAGAAAGACTGTTTGGTTTCCAGGAGCCTGGAGCACCTCTGGGAGTGGAAGTAAACTAGCAGTAAGCATAGCTACATGTAAAGTATGGGCTTACCTTGAGCAACAACAGAACATGCAGAGTAACTACTTAGAAGCAAGAACTGCAACAACTACAAGCTCCATTAACTTGAGTAGGTGGTAGCTTTCACGGATGGGGGGAACTACGCATGCGTACTATCCTAGACTATGAATACTGTTAATGATTGCCATTTAGGGAAGTGAAGAATGCGCGCGAGCCCGCTCGAGAGACGCGGGTGCATGGAGGTAGTGAGTGAGGCCCACGGCTACAGTGAGACCAGACAACCAGATTGTAAAAGGGATTAGGTATGTATGATCCGTGTATATCAATCAGCAGGAGTCTTGTGGGATTTTCACTGATGACTTGATACAGCCATGAAGTGCTACTCTAAGGCAGATAATATTTTGAACCAAATTTTGTACCAAATGCCTAGTAGGTGATTTTCAGTTGCGCATGGTGCATGATGACATGTCCAGTGTGGGTACTGCAACCTTGATATTGATACTGGCTGAAAATTGTATTATCATTCATTCTTACAGTAATTGCTGACACAAGCTACCATGTTGCCACGTGAGTCTCTTCTCTCTCAGAAAGTCATGCATGTGGTTAGATGCGTGCAGCTACAAATATAGATTGACACCAAATACTTGTGTTCTCTAGAAGGCTATGACATGCAATTTTGAATAGTGCAGCACGTCTTTGTTCTATTTATGGGTAATCAATTGAAATTTCGAAATTTGCACTATTTATCTGTTTTGGCCTTGGAATGCTATCACTTGGCAAATGTGGTGATGATCTACAATGGTCAGTGACGACTTTATGCAACTGAACTGCTGTGAGAACACTTGCAAAGACCATGACACAGTTGTTCGAGGTGCTACTTGGGGGCTGGTTTCTGGGGTCCCTATACCATGTTGCAGCTTTTCCTGTCTTCTTTTGGCCTTTAGTTCAAGAAAAGTAGTAACAGACAGACAGACAAAAACACACACACACTCACATTGAATGCCGAAGGTTTTAACGTGCGTTTAACACAAGCAACTGCTATTATAATCATTATCCCCTTTGGTGTAGGTGGAGGTGCAGCTGTGTTCTTTGTTTTTATTCTTGGAGTCTGTTGTGCACAAGGTAAACTTATACTTCCACCCTTGCTACACATGGTGCCAAGAGTGAGAGTTTGCAATTGGCTATCACTAGGTAACAAAGCGTGTATATCATAATAATATCATCATTACCCTCGGCGCGCATGCGCAGCGAGGGTTACAGTACTTGGGTCTGTGTGTCTGTGTGTCTGTTACTCTCAATCTCACTCCTCGAACGCTGTTCGTCCAGTAAAACGATACATCTACTACCAACGGGCGACGAAGGTCAGAAATTTGTGCGGTTTTCTCTGA